TCCATAAAATATGTCAGTCAGTTTGCTCAATGATAGAAAAGGTTCCCTAAAGGAAGGCTGGGGAACACTGATCTAGTGTTCACAAATTATTAATATATTAACTACAGCATATAGAAAGAAAACATGTCCTCAGTTCCTGCTTGGGTTACAGTTGATGTCATAAAGACTAACTTAGAATCTGTTTATCAAATAGCCCTGGAGATAACACAGCAGCAAACAAACACATTTCATCCTACTGTGGAAGGCCTTTCTTGTACAAAGCTATTATCTCTATCTGGGGCTTGTTAGCTTGAACCTGTCTGTCCATTTTACTCCTACATCACTCACTGTTAAATACACATTAAGTGTGAATACCAGGAGGGCAGTTGCATTTCTCATATGCTGACACTATGTCTGGCACCAACACCACATTCAGCCGCTGAGATAATGCATCTTACCCATTCTATTGTTTAGCCACAGTAACTGAACTCTTTTGACTTTGTCTGTGGGCTTTTTTCAAATGGCTGAAGGTAATAATTGACCACTTAACAGAACTGCAAAGGCCTGGCTGTTTCAGGTTGTGTAGACAGAGAAGCCTGAAGCAGTTAATTTTTTTAAGGGGTTATTCATGGGACCTCCGTGGTCTTGGACATTTGCCACGATGTCAAACTGTACATAGAAGGTACCATTATGCAGGATTATGTGACTGTCCTCAACAAACAAAGAGAAATTTCCAGAGAAGCAGGGATTACCACGACTCTGATCTGCTTCCAGTCCAGGCTGTTGAATGACGTCAGGTGGTACTCCCTTACTCAGTTACTATTTCTGGCAAAGTAGCTACTATAACTGCTGCATGATGTGTATAAAATCAAATATACATCATCCACTGCCTTTCAGCAGGAATCACCTTGAGAAGGGAATATCTAAAAAAAAATGTAGTTTAAATTTTCTTGCATTCATCCTTGTATTTTTGTTAGAAAACTGTGCCCTTTATCTTCCAATAAGAAAATGCATTTGTAATTTTCAGTTTATTTATATATGTAAACAGTGAGACAGAAATATGTACAGCAACGTTGTTCGCTTTTTTTGCATGTTTCGCGCCCACCGTAGTTACTCCCTTGGAAAGGGAAGGTGAAGCGAGTAAGTGGCAATCTGCATCTACACCACTAGATGCTACTAAATCCTACACACTGGACCTTTAAAAATGGGCTGATTTGGCTCTGATAATCACCACTGTGTAGTCTTGCTCAATGTCCCGCCCACAGCACTCTCTGATTGGTTACAGGTCTCAAGTAATAGCCTATCAACACTGAAGGTTGCACCATCACAACCATTGAAATAGAAATACTCAAGTAAAGTACCTCAAACACAAAGCAACTCCCTTGCTTCAGGAGAGGGTTTTAAGGAGAAACAATGGTGGCCATGAAAAAACGCAAACGGGCTTATTTAGTGCCAGTGTTTGGTTTATCCCTTCTGGGCAACTATAGAAACATGACCCCAGGAAGAGCGCCAGGATTTGAAGCAAATTTGACATAGTAGCCAAATCAAATAATTACAGCAATGGTGTCTGCCCGCTGGCCCAAAAAGACGTTTTCCCATAAGGTTACATTGTAAAAGAAGCGGCTGTAAAACTGTGGATGCATAAATAATTTCTCCCTGGGATTATTAACGTATTTCTGATTCTGATTATTCACAACCTCTGCAAAATGACTTGTTTCACTATTAGAATTTGATCCATTCAGTCCGATTACATTTTTAAAGTCTAGAAGATTTGCAAGATTAAATTATTTATCGCCATTCAAATGGAAGTCTCTGGCTCAGTCTATCATGTATTCATCCGGGTCATTTCTTTGCAGTGGGAAGTGCCTTTTTTTTGTTTTATGCGCCACTGAGCAGCTTTCATAGGAATGAACGGAGTGCTGTCTCCAATGCTGTATCCAGTTATCTTTATACATCCATGGGTTCAACATGGCAGACCCCATGGAAAGTGGCCCGCGGGATCTGTATATAAAAACGTCTCATTCTAAGGTAACAAAAAACTATTCCTATGTTCAGTTCATGAAAAAACACGAACTATCTAGAGCCAGTATATGGTTTTTCCATTCTGGCCTACTGTAGAAACATGGCGAAGCCCACCTCTCTAGATAAAAACATCCCATTTCAACGTTACAAAAACACAATGATTCTTATTTTCAGGTGATTATACACTAATGAAACATAGCTATGAATATTAAACTTAATTACTGACAATAGATCCTCCTCAATGTTACACACAGAACCTTTAATTTCAGTTCTTGAATAAATGTACTCAGTCACACTCCACCATTTATTCAAAGTTTTGACACCAACATTTTAATGCAAATGTATATTGGTTCCAAATATCAGTTATTGGTTTCCTTGATTACTAATAATCTGTATCTGCCCTGAAAAAAAAAGGTATGGGAAGCTGAAAACTGCTCTCACACAGCTGCTTATATTGTAAGATTAGAAGACATTAAAGTGAGACTGTTGCTGCTTCTAAAGTGAAAGATCATCCATCTATGAGTCAAACTAGAACATGTGGAGTTTCTGTGGATCAGTCTCCCTAACCTCAAACACCTGACATGTCCACTTACCATAAGCTCGTGTTCAGTGCGATGTACCCCCAGTTTCTTCAGCCCAATCGTCAGGTCATTGACACAAATGCCTCCATCCCCGTTCACATCCAGGACTTGGAAGAGCACTTTCAGTCTGTGCTCCTGCTCGGGCCCTCCGCATATGTCACAGGGATGCTCTGACTGGCCGGGATTCGAATGCCATTCACCGGCCACCGGCTTTCTGCTGACTGGTTTAGATGTGGCAGCTGAGGAGGGGTCTTCAGCGTGCCCGCCGCCCGGGTCGACCCCTGGGTGGGACTCTGCGGACCGGCACTGGCAGAATACATCGCTGAGCAAGGAGGGCATCAACGCGCCCTGCCGGTGCATGAATGACCCGGCTGACAATGCGATAGCTACCGGCTGAAAGTGCGATAGCTACCGCTGACAGTGCGATAGCTTCCGGCTGACCAGTGCGATAGCTACCGGCGACAGTGCGATAGCTACCGGCCTGAGCCAGTGCGATAAGCACCCCGGGCTGACAGTGCGATAGCTACCGGCTGAGAGCTAAGGAGCACTTGAGGCTACCGCTGTGTCTCGAGCCCTTACTACCACGTCACATGTCCCTCGGTTTCAGCCGGTACTGAAAGGAAAACCTACCGGCTGCCGGTTCACTCACAAACCGCACTTTTCACCACGAACACGCCCGTGGAGTTCACTTAAAACGAAACTGGTTTCTCTGAATAGTTTAACTCGATAAATTAGCTCAGCTAGCCGGCGTTAACCTCAGTGTTTTAGATAGATGCTGGTGAAACCGTCTGGCTGTCAGCGCTCTGACCGGCTTTTAACATACCTAACGTTACACACGTTAAGACTTTACACGGAGCTCCTTTATCACATGTGACGAAAAACAAAGTTCCTGCTCTACAGACTGTTATCGGTACGATATTTATTCCGATATTTAAGTGCCGTTAACTTGCCGACCGTTGAGGATATACCGGGAGCCGGGTGTGCCAGAAGTCTCGCTCTACAACGCGAGATTACAGCTTGGCCGCATCTGCTTGAGTGACAAGCCAGGTGTCTAATTTAGAGGATTGACATTTTGGGGCGATAATACGATCAAAACTGAGAATATATAATACGAATTTGAGGATATGGAATAAAAGTCTGATAATACTTTTAAATAATATATAATTATAAAAAATAAAAGCACTTTCTATGGTGGTCAGTGTATGCAAATGATGTAGCCCACAAGGCCTTTGTTAGTAAAGTGCATTTCTCTTCTTTCAAGTTTTAAGTGAATCAAATCCAGTCATTCACCAATATCTCTCTTCAAGCTGGACAACATAACGTCTATCAGTAAAAAGTACAGGAACCTTGTGGCTGAATTAACGTGTGTTATTTTGAATCAAGCTGCATTTGTTGTTATTAATTTGCAAACTGCTTCGTCAGAGAAGCTTCTATTGTCATTGAGACAAACACATTAAAATTACCATTAGCATTACTCATATTGACTTTAAATACTACGTTATCACAAAACAACAGAATGGCACCGTACAAATATAACATAAAGCTTTCATATTGTTATACGTCTTCAAAATTGTACCTTACTGTCAATACAGCTAGGAAAGCCACCCATCTTCTGAATGTCCTCGGTCTCTAGTTTCTGGTTGTACGGTGTCATGAGTGATTATTCTAGAGGTTACAATGGGTCATTTTATTTAAAAAAAATGGTCTCACTGCAATGCAATGGCTATATGGGGACTGATATCAACACTCATTGAATCTACAAGAGTCTCATCTTTCCAGTTAATCCCAATTTATACAATTCCAATACTGTTTATGGACCATAGTATGCAGAAATATATAAATACACACCACATGCATGGGCATGTCTGCAAAGGGGTGACTTGTGGGTGTCAATAGAACCTGTTTTCATACAGATATCTTGAGGGCAGAGGTCAAGTGATCCATTTCAAAATGGCCAGGCCAGGTTTTCCATCACCAAAATGTAGTCTAACTTTAAAACGTTATTTAGCCCTCTTCCTGACAAACTAGCATGATAAACCAATAGATGACTTAGGTCTTCTAGTTTCACAAGATATCAATCTTTATTCTTAGTGAAAAGAGCTTGAGGAGCTTTGTATTATAAAGCTGACTGCAGTAACTCCTCAGCGCTGTATAATAACAATATAATTCTGTCTACCCACAATGCCCCACCTAAAGCACCAAGGGCTGCATCAGTCCTCACAGCTTCAACTCTGAAAAACTACCCATCATTCATTCCACCATCCATTATGAATTCTTCAATATACTGAAACATATAAGAAGAAAGATTCTATAAGAGATTTTCCTCGTCTTTCATATCATGTGGGTGTTGTGACAGACCTGCTGTCTTTTTATCAACTTAACATACATTTCCAAAATGTGTGTATCCGCTGCCATCTGCTGCTCGCGCCAAACTGACTGAGGAGACCTCTGGAGCTCACTGAAATCATTTGGAAGATGAACTCTGAGCCCCCCTCCAGTCAGAAATCTGTGTTTCTTCCTGTCTCTACACTGTGCTGTTTGAACAATCTATGAGCAGAGTGTGACACTAGAAGGATGTTTTCAGAGTCATCAGTCAAGTTTTTTCTCAACTAATGCGGGTAGGTTTCTTTTTTAATCAAAAAACTGAAATGTATACACACACATTTGACATTATACATTACATTATTTTATGGCACATTGAAAGTGTATTTCTAGTTTTGAAAATAAATATTTAAAATTGTGTGTTAATTATTTTGTATTGTTCATTTTCTAGTTATTGAAATATTGAACTTAAAAATAGGAAATATTCATAATAGGCTCATATTCACCAACTTCGACTGTAAGATAAGGTGCGATAACGGTGAGTATTTTTTTATTTGGCTTTTAAAAAACATAGTTTGTTTGGCCCGCTGAGTGACTGGCGTTTGATTGAGCCAATAGTAACAGAGAATATAGCATGACCGGGAGATTACTAGCCAATCGGCTATCAGTGGGCGGGGCCTCCCGCCCAGCTAACGTAAGCGTTGTTAGTAGGAAGAAGAAGCCGATTCTGGAAGCCATTACGTTGCGCACATCAATTGAGTAAATCCAACTATTTTTGCGTACAATACGCACAATTATCTCTCCAAAAGAGCAATTTCTGCAACTATGGCATCGGTCGCGAAAAAGAGAAAAATGAATTTCTCGGAGAGAGAGGTGGAAATTATTGTGGAAGAAATAGAGAAACAAAAGCACACACTGGTTAACCACTTCAATGCTGGAGTCACCCACATGGCAAAGAATAACGCGTGGGTGGATATCCTGAAAAAGGTGAACGCTGTCACCACCTGTCCCAGAGAGTTGCCCGAGGTGAAAAAGAAGTGGTCCGACATGAAGACGGAGGTCCGGCGGAAGGTGGCCCAGGCGCGGGCAGCTATAGAGGGGACCTCCGCCGACTGCACTCCAGTTCCCGTCATCCTCACTGCTATGCAGCAGAGGATCTGTAACCTCCTGGGGGAGGCCACCATCATCAGCTTACCTGCAGGAGACTCGGATGCTGAGATAACTTTACCGGTCACAGTGAACACCGCCGCGACTGTCACACTGGCAGAGAGTGAGTTGGTAAAAGTTTTCACTGTAAGCATGCTCAAGATGCACTTAGTGCCAGATGTGTGTACGCTGCTGTGCGGAGCAAGAAAAGTTACTGTGTTAAGTGAAAGATGTGACTGAGAGGCTGAGACACACTGCTGTGTAACAGGAAGTAGATCTCCAGCAGTGGAGAGATGCTGCATTACTTACAGCTGCACAAGTATTGAAATATTATCCAATTCACAATATTGTCTTGTGTCATACCCTTCTGAGAACCAAGGAAAAAAGTGTCTTCCAATTTCATTCAATTCCAATCCTAACACTTGAGATATCATTGGAAAGGCCAGGGTGTCCTCTTTAGAGCTTTGATTTAGACTTTGAAGAAGAAAACGACACAATATAAACAACTCAGTACCATCTAGTAACCAGAGCACAGAAGTGTTGAACAATGAACAAAATAATCCCTCGTCTCAGTCTATCATCTTCATGCCAAACTGCACTTAATGTGAAGATGAAGATGGAGCTATGACATTATGTAAAAGATTATATTGCATCATCCTATATGTATTGGAAGGCAACAGCATGTATCTTTATCTATTGCCACCTTAAGCAGTGTACACTAATACTTTTCATGGAGCGAGTGGAACTCTTTTTACCTCTGAACTGACACGTTAAATCAGTGGAGCTGCTGCCACCTTGCCACCCATTTTAGCTTCTGTGTAAATCAAAAAGCTTTTGACAGAAAATGACCTTTTTTAAAAATGCACTATATCATTTCTGCCACTTTTGTAATCAAAACAATACAAAAGTTTGATGTCGCCTTGAAGTAGTGTGGGATCATGGGAGTTGTTTTCTTAATTGTTAAACAACCACCACTGCTGATCTGACGTGACTCCGGCAGATATTGTTCACAGACTGGGTAATGTATTGAAGTTGTATTCACGTCACGTTCGCCGACTGCTTTCCTCAGTTTCTGTTGTATCCCAAGTTTCACTGGAAGTTATAGCAAGTAACATATCAGACACACATTATTTTTCCATATTGTACATATGTGTCTTAAAAGATGTGAGCGCACCGTGGATGCGTTACAGAGTTCTAAACTAGTCTTATCCTCCTTTCCTTCGTGACCCAGAAAACCATGCTGGAACATGCATATGACTTACTATTACCCTGATTTCCAGATCTAATAAATCACTTGGCTCTTGTTGGAGAAAAATACTAGAAATTTGGCAGGTTTTCGCCTAATAATTGAATTATATTTTAGTGTTTTAGATTGAATTCTTTTTCTTTGACTGTTTGTTGTTTTTGGCCTCCATATAATTCTGTCCGTATTCTCTTTCAGCTCTTCCAGCTGGCTCAGCTACAGTCTGTGATGAAGCAAAGCCACTGAATGGTTAGTCTTTTTCTAATTACATGATACTGTATAGCTGACGCATGCAGAGCAGTCAGTGTGTTTCTTAGTTGAACAGACAGATGATCATTACCTGTGATTTCTGATCAGCATACTCTGAAAGCAGATACCTGAGGCTCATAAAGATAGATAAAAACTGATATGTGTCATTCTTGATACCACTAATATTTCAACAGTTGACTCAGTACTGTACAAATATACAGGCAACAAATAACTGCAATTACCAAGAGAATGATGTGAAAGTTCAGTTTCAGTACAGTTGGACAAATATTGATTCCTTGAAAATTGAACTTCATCTCTCACTGGAATATTTTGCCTTTTCTGATAGTGAAGTAAATTTCCTCTCAAGATAGAAGCCTGAATTCACATACAGAAGCTCTCCTATTGCAGATTGCATTCTGATCATAAAATAAAAACTCAACGCAAGATGTTTCATGTTAAAAAAAGTACAGAAAGTAACCAGAGTGAGTTCTGAAGCCCTCTTTAATGTAGCTCCACCAGTCTCTACTGTGTAGCGTTGGTTTACAGGGAATATTTGAATCCTTCAGCATCGGTTTAGCAGCCGGCAGCTACCCACCTCTTGATCATCATCCACATTTCTGGATCTATCCAACGACAGCAATTCATTCTTATTGGCTGTCTTACATTTTAAGAACCAGTTGGTAGAGCTGCAACAATTAGTCAATTCATTGATCATTTATCAACTACTAAATTTCTTTTGTCCTCTATGACAGTAAAGAATGTCTTTGGGGTGTGGACAAAACAAGATATTTGAGGACAGTTAATGTAAATGCCGAGGTCTTTGCTAATTATAGCATTAGGTAAAAATACCCTTTTGGAGCCCAAATACTATAGTCAGGCAAACAATTATGTTATGATGTTGCTGATTAACAAACAATGTCTTTATATAAAAAAATAAATAAAGTTGATGAGTTTCCTTTAGTCTGTCTCCATCAAAGTGACAGAAATATGAGATTCTGTCTCCACTGACAGAATCTCATATTTCTGTCACTGTTTCTGTTGATAAGACTCTTTATTTTCCTGATAACTAACCTATGATGAAGGGTTTGCTACAGACGGAAACATACTGACTGTGTGACGTATGCCTGCTCCCAAATATATTTTCAGTTTTGGGTCTGACTGGAGACTTGCAGACTATTCGGCCACAGTAACAGTTTCCCTGTCCTGTTTCCAGCTGAAACAACGTACCACACTCTGGAGGACGGCGGCGTGGTGGAGTACTGCACCACCACTGTGAGCGACTCCACTCCCACCGTGGTGGCCACCGTTGAGGCACCGGTGGAGATGCTGGCCTCGTCCTCAGCTTCCCCGCCTCCGCCACAGGGTCAGGCCAAACCTCAGGAGCTGAAGAGCCGCATCGCCCTCAACTCGGCCCGCCTGCTGCAGGAGCAGAGAGTCACCAACGTCCACATCCGACAGATCGCCCAGCACCTTGAGGGCCAGAACGAGCTGCTGCAGATGATGCGGCGCTCCCAGGAGGCCCAGGCGTTTGCCCAGGAAAGACAGGCGCAGGCCCTGGAGGGTACCCAGGCTGCCCTGCTAGCGTTAGTGCAGATGCTCAGGCCCGCTCTCAAAGACCTGCGCAAATTCCTGCAGAGTGGGACTGAGGTGGCGAACCCTAGCAGCTCAGCAGCAGGAGGGACAGCTGAAGGGGCAGGAACAGAGGAGCAGAGCAGGCCCAAAACTCCTCCACCTCCTCCACAACAAGCCGAGGAGACACAATAGATACTGTGTGTGTGTGTGTGTCTGGGACACTGAGACTTCAGAGAACAATGAAAAGCTTGTCAGAAGTTGCCTCAGAGAGAGCATGTACAGAATTTTACTTATGTTTTACGGTTTGGACAGAAGAAAAAAGAAAAACTTACGTTGCGAAGATTATTTTTACCGTCTGTCACTTCAATTAGGGAGTTTGTGCTATTTAATACATTGGATTTAATATTGAAATTGTGTTTTTATTGCAGAGATGCAGGTGGTCATCGTCCTGATGTTAAATGATGAACATTTAATCCTTCGGTTTTTTCAAGTCTATTCTGAATGAAGAGTAACTAGTCTTCTTTTTTAAGAACAGAGTCAACTGGAGTCGTCAGTTCGTGTGCACCGTCTTCAGAACTGAATAAAATTTTAAGAAAATTAGCAGCCTGTGTTTTGTTCACAGGGTGCACCACTGTTAATCAACCAGAAGAGGTCAGTGTGTGTGTAAGCAATCAATCACAGGTGGAGCAGCAGTGTAGTTTGAAGTACATATTGGGATGAAATGTATTTAATGTGAAATACCACAGCCATTTATTTAGTTTTTTGTTATATATATATATAAATATAAATTATAAATTAGATTTACAAATCTAATTTATATAACAATTTATCTAGTTATATAAATAACATGAATATAGCAGCAAAAAAGTCATGGTGTCACTCTCCCTCTG